AATGGTTGTGAAAAGAGGAGTTGTGGCCCAACTGGTGAAGCTTTGAAGAGCTCCTGAACTGCTCATTGTGACTTCTGTGCTAAGAGCCATAGGAAGTATTGTCACTGGGACAGATGAACAGTCGTAATAGATGTGGGAGCACTTGCCATCTTTCCCAGCCTGCAATGAGCCCCAAAACTAATACTCAGAAAGAAGCAACGTGGAAAACGTAAAACATGACATCTGGCTGCCAGGACCAGATGCAGTAAGTTGTGAATCAAAGATTAGTCCCATTCCTCATTGGCATTCTAAGGAGGACTTTAAGACACAAAAGGAAGGGGCGCCCAGGTGGCTCAGTCGGTTAAGCATCTGACTCTTGATTTTGGCCCAGGTTGTGAGATCAGGGTCATGAGATTGAGCCCCACGTGGGGCTCCACGCTTAGCCTGGAGTCCGCTTGGGATTCTCTTCCTCTCCCCCCACTTATTCGCTCTCTGTCTCTCTAAAATAAAATAAATAAATAAAATCTTAAAAAAAAAAAAGACACAAAAGGAAGCTGTATGGGCTATGACCAACTATACAACTGGTGGACTGGTTGAATAGATTATAAACCTTGTTCATTGTGGCATAATATAACCACTGATAAACCTCTTAATTGTGGAAGATACTGTGGTTATTCTGAACATCTTTTCAGATGTCTTTCAGGCTACTAAGAAACTAGGTGAAACAGAAACTTAGGGGGCGCCTAGGTGGCTCAGTTGGTTAAGCATCTTCTCTGTGTAGCTCCTTCCTTCCTTCCTTCCTCCCTCCCTCCCTTCCTCCCTCCCTTCCTTCCTTCCTTCCTTCCTTCCAGATTTTATTTATTTGAGAGAGAGAGAGAGAGAGAGAGCGAGCATGAGCTGGGTGGGGGGCAAGGCAGATGGAGAGGGAGGTGCTCCAGAAATCCATATAGGGATGCTCTTGTCCTTGGCCTAAAGTTAAGCTGCGCATGCATAGAGGGAGACTGAGAGACCTTGTAGTGGAAAGCTACTGGGGAGCTGTGAACTGAGAAGAGATTCCATATGTTTCACAGTGATGGGAGGGGTTTGAATTCCAACCAGCCAGAGTGGAGAGACATTGAACATCACAGACATTCAACTAAGACTCCAAAAAGGCCATGCCTTAGTAGTAAGATTATTCTAGATTTGCTCTAACAAAACTTAAAAACAAGTCCCGAGGGCGGCTGGGTGGCTCAGTTGGTTAAGCGTCTGCCTTTGGCTCAGGTCTTGATCTCAGAGTCCTGGGATTGAGCCCCACATAGGGCTCACTGCTGAGCAGGGAGCCTGCTTCTCCCTCTCCTTCTCACTTATGCGCTCTCTTGCTATCTCTCTCTCTCTAAAAAAAAAAAAAAAGTCCCGAAGACATTTTGGCTTGATTCACCAGTGAGTTAGCTACCTGCCAGAACAAAATTCAACATCTTCAAAGGAATACAACAAAATTCAGACTGAACAAAGTATTGTTTACAGTGTTTCGCATAAAATAAGAAATTGCTAAACAACAACAAAAAAAGCAGTCCATAGACCTAGATATGACAGAGATGTTGGAATTAACAGTTAAATATTTTAAAACAGGTATAAGGGGCACCTCAGTTGGTTGAGCCAACTCTTGGTTTTGGCTCAGGTCGTGATCTCAGGGTCATGGGATTGAGCCTTGTGTCGGCCTCCACACTCAGTGTGAATTCTGTTTGTCCCTCTCTTTCCACTCCTTCCCCTATGCGTATGCACAGGCATGTGCCCGCTCTCTCTCTCTCTAATAAATAAATAAATATTTTTTACGAAACCTGTTAAAACAGGTATAGTAAATATTTTTAAGGGTTTAAATAAAAGATGGGCATAATAAGTGAACAGATGGGAAATCACATTAGCGAAATTGACACTTAAAAAGAACTAAATGAAATCCTATAAATGAGGGGCGCCTGGGTGGCTCAGTCAGTTAAGTGTCTGCCTTCGGCTCAGGTCATGATCCCAGGGTGTTGGGATCGAGCCCCATGTCAAGGCTCCCTGCTCAGTGGGGAGTCTGCTTCTCCCTCTCCCTTTGTCATTCCCCCTGCTTATGCGTGTGAGTGTGCATTCTCTGTCAAATACAATTTAATAAAAAAATCCTGTAATTGAGAAACATAATATTTGAAATTGAAATTTACTGGGCAGGCTTAACAGCAAAATAGGTATTTCAGAAAGTAAATTTGAAAGATTGGTGAACTTGAAAATAGGATTATAGGTATTATCTAAAATAAAGTGCTAAGGAAAAAAAAGAACAGAGCCTCAACCCATGGGGTTCAGTATTCATCATTCTAACATGTGTATTGGAGTCCCAGAAAGAGAAGAGATTGGGGGGGTAAATATTTGAAGAAATAACAGCAGAAAAATTTCTAAATTTGATGGAAAGTCATCAGTCTACAGATCCATGAAGTTCAGTGAACTCAAGCAGAATAATCAATGAAAATTACACCTAGAGACATCATTACCAATTTGGTGAAAACCAAAGATAAAGAGAAAATCTTAAAAGCAATCTGAGAAAGACACTGAAGGGAACAGTGGTGAGAACAACCCATGACTTCTCATCGGAAGCAACATAAGCCAGAAGACAAAAGAACACCATCTTTTAAGGGCTGAAAGAAAAAACTGTCAAGCTTGAATTCGACTTTAGCAAAAATATCTTTAAAAATGAAGATGAAATAAATTCATTTTCAGATAGACAAAAGCTCTGGAAATGAGTCATTAGCAGAGCTACACTACAAGAAATGTTAAAGTTGTTTGGGTCAAAGTAAAATGGTAACAGGTGGAAACTCAGATCCATAAAAAGAATAAAGCACACTAGAATATGTGTGTAAATAAAAGACTTTTTCTTCATTTCTTACTGTCTCTAAAAGACTGTCGAAAGCAAAAATAATAGCAGTGTTTGTGAGGCTTATATATAGAAGTAAAATAAAAAAGTAGTATATGTAGTAGTAAAACCTGACGGCAATTAATACCAGGGATGGAAATGTGGTAAGTGAATGAAAGTATATTGTAAGGTACTTACATTGTATGTGAAGTGGTATAATATTAATTCATGGTTGATTGTGATAAGTTAATGTTATATATTCACTAGATAAGTCACTGAAAAGGGAGGTATAACTAAAAAGCCAATGATGAGAATGACATGGACTATTAGAAATACACAATTTGGGGCACCTGGCTGGCTCATTCGGTGGAGCGTGCAACTCTTGATCTCGGGGTTGTGGGTTTGAGCCCCACATTAGGTGTAGAGATTACTTAAAAAAATAAAATCTTAAAAAAAAATACACAGTTCAAAAGAATGCAAGAAAGGAGAAAAAGCAAAAAGCATTTGGGACAAATGGGAAAGAAACAGATTGTAGACTTAAATCCAGCTATATCAGTAATTGCATTAAATGTAAGTAAACACTCCAGTAAAAGGCGTAGATTGTCAGGCTAGATATAAAAACAAGACCTTAACTATATTCTATTTAAATATAAAGGTGTCACGAATACACTCTCAAAACTGAAAGAACTCAGGGGATATAGAATCTCTGAGCTTTTCTGGAAAACTCTATTTGATACGGCCCGTTTACAAGTTCTTGAGACAGGCAGGAACTCAATGTTACTACTTTGCTAAAGGCAAAAGGCAACCTTAGCTTGACATTAGCCCGACCTCAAGGATCATGTAAAAATCCCTTTGGAAACTTCATCTCTACCCCACCCCCCAAGATATATGTTAGCAGCAATCCTTTATCTCTACCCCACCCCCCAAGATATATGTTAGCAATCCTTTATCTCTACCCCACCCCCCAAGATATATGTTAGCAATCATCCTCCAAGCATATGGCCCATTGATATACATCTGAAGGGTCTCATGAAGGGTCTCATGACTAAGGTTTTACTAGATAGTAAATGACACTTTCTAACAACAGCTAGCCCCTCAAGGTCTTGGAAACCTTGCTTCCAAATTCCTTAGAGACTTACACCATCCCTAACCCCCTCCCAACTTGAAAGTATATAATCAGTCATTCCTCACAACCCCAGTGCAGGTCTTTCTGCCCACGGGTCCTGTCCCTGTGCTTTAATAAAACCACCCTTTTTGCACTGAAGGTGCCTCAAAAATTCTTTCTTGACCGTTTGCTCCTGAGCCCCAACATTTCACATCAGTCATACATGGGGATTTGAAATTTTCCATGAAAAAACAACAACTAAAGAGAAAATTAAGCCCTGTCACCACCTTTGTTTAAAATCACCTGTTAGCAGCTTCCCATTGCTCCTAGGATAAGTACAGGATCCTGCATGTTCTGACCCCTGCCTGTCTCTACAGCCTGTTTTCCCTAGTGATTTCTGGGTTCTAGCCGTATAAGCTCCTTTTCTCTTTGTATCCTATTCCTGCTGCCTGAACAACCCTCACCCCGTATTTTTTTCCCATTATATTATAGCTCAAATGTCACTTCTTTGGGGAGGCTTTTCTTGACTTTATCCCCGTCTAGGTTAGAGTCCTGATACATTCTCATAACATCCTGTACTTTTCTTCCACATGTTTGACACACTTAAAATCCTAACACTTAGTTGTGTGGTTGTTAAATATCTGTTCATTAGACTTAAAATCCACAAGGTTAGGGACAGTGTCTCTTTATTGTCCAGAACCTAGCACAGTGGTTGGCAAATAATATGTATTCATTATACATTTAAATTAATGAACATTGAATGAAGTGCTGATAAGATCACATGTTCTTGTTGTAACCCCACGAGGTAGCTATTATTATAATCCCCACTTTTCAGCTCCTTTAGGGGTGGCATATCTCACAAGATACCACTTGAACAAAAGATTCCAAGGCTAAAAAAGCTGGAAGGTTTGTGCATCATACGAGGCCACCTTCCTTTTGTGCTGCCTTAGCTCAAAATATATGAACTTTATTCAGGAATTCTCTAACATTGGCCTGAGACATTCAGGTTCTGCCCTGGCTTGGGTTTATTTTTTTCTTCCCTTTCCCTCCTCCCAGGTGGACTGACCCAGGACCTGAAAGCTGCCTCCAGCTGCTTTCTGATGGCGTGTGAGAGGCCCGGAAAGAAGTCTGTGGAGGCATGTCACAATGTTGGTCTCCTGGCACATGATGGACAGATCAATGAGGACGGCCAGCCTGACCTGGAGAAGGCTAGAGACTACTACACAAGGGCCTGCGAAGGCAGCTATGCCTCCAGCTGCTTCAATCTCAGTGCCATGTTCCTGCAGGGTGCCCCTGGCTTTCCCAAGGACATGGGCCTGGCATGTAAATATTCAATGAAAGCCTGTGATTTGGGCCACATCTGGGCCTGTGCCAATGCCAGCCGCATGTACAGGCTGGGGGATGGCGTAGATAAAGACGAGGCGAAGGCCGAGATACTAAAAAATCGGGCCCGGCAGCTGCACAAAGAACAGCAGAAAAATGTCCAGCCTTTGACATTTGGGTAGTGTGGTCCATATTCCTAAGCAACAAACAGCTTGAGGCTGGCACCTCCTATGTCTTATGTAGCCCTTAAAGGTCAACCTGCTGGGGCAGGAAGACTTGGGACTTAATGTCAGTAGCTCTGGTTACATAGACCCATTGCCCCAGAGTGTCACCTACTGGGTTGTAGCCTAAAATTTTTATTTCAGTCAGTGTTCTTTTTATCTGTTGTGTTCTGTGAAAGCACGCACATAACGGGATTTTTGTTCTCAAAGTCTTACAGCTCAGTGAAAAACAGCAAAACAGAGAGCCATAGAGATTGTGGGGGGTGCGGAGGGGAGACAGAGCAGGAAGTTGGAAAAATCAGCAGCCATAGTGCCTGAAGGAATCAGATGTTGTTATTATTATTTTAGTTGGGAGGGCTTGAAAATCAGAAAGTATCTTGATTAACATAACAGAGGGCTTGAGCAGCTAAGAACAAGTCAAATAGTCACAACTGCCACCCTCTGACTTATGTAATCATTGGTGTGGGTTTCCTTTTTGCCTTTAGAGTCAGATCTTCAATAAATTCACAGAGATTGGGAGGGACATACAACATAAAATTAAAGGTCGTTATATGTCAGGGTTGCCAAAGATGATGAAATATTAAGCCTGCCTTTAGTGGAGGCGTTCGCAGTTGACAGCATCCCCGTCCGCTCCCCTGGCATTGCTCACCATGCTTACGGAGCAGATTATTCCCAAGGCAACTTCAGCTAGGGATTTGTAAGCAAGGATTTTGTGACACATTTTGTCCCTTGGACCTGAACCTTTTTAACTGTCCCTGTGAATAAACTATTTTGATTGATTAGTAGTTTGTGTTATTAGTTTCTCTCCAGACTCTGGGTAAGGTAGAGATTATGTTCTACGTGGTGGTTGTGCTTTTTTAAGTAAACATTTGCTCTTTTTATTCTCTCTCTAACTTGTCACTAGGGGGCGAGCTTGTTGTTTTCCTGCAATAACAGGTCTGATCTGTCACCACCTACTGTTTCTGGGCTTCCAGTTTTGCAGCTGTCCTAGAAGGAAAGCTTGCTGTGTGGATGAAGGTTTGTAAGCACAGCCTGCCAGCTTCTCAAGTTGATAGAGGAGAGGGACTTTCCCAGGAGCGGACAAGAAGTTTTAAAAAGTGAGTTTATTTTTTAAATGTGAAGTAGCTTTTGTTTTGTTTAATATAAACTCTGTAGGCCAACAAGCATATGAAAAGATGCGCAGCATCACTAATAATTAGGGAAATGCAAATCAAAAGCATGAAATAATTATCTCACACCTGTCAGGGTGGCTGTTTTATCCAAGCATTGGCTGCCAATCCAAGCATTGGCAAGGATGTGGAGAAATTAGAATCCCTATTCATTGTTGGTGGGAATGTAAAACGGTATAGCCACTACAGAAAACAATATAGTAGTTCCTCAAAAAATTAAACCTAGAATGACCATAGGATCTAGCAGTTCCATTTCTGGGTATACCCCTATGTTCATAGCAGCATTCACAATTGCCAAAAGGCAGAAGCAACCCAAATGTCTAGGTGAGTGGATAAACAAAATGTGTATACATACAATGGAATATCACTCAGCCTTAAAAGGAAGGAAAATCTGATACATGCTACAACATGGGTGAACCTAAAAGACACGCTAAGTGAAATAGACATCACAAAAAGACATACTGTGTGATTTCAATTACATGAGGTGTCTAAACTCAAAGCAGAATGGTGGTTGCCACAGGTTAGGGGAAGGGGAAAATGGGGAGTTGTTTAATGGGTATAGAGTTTGAATTTTTCAAGATGAAAAAGTTCTGGAAATTGCACAAAAATGTGAAAGTTCTTTATTGAACTGTACATTTAAAAATGATTAAGATGGGGGGTGCTTAGGTGGCTCAGTTGGTTAAGCGTCTGCCTTTGGCTCAGGTCGTGATCTCGGGGTCCTGGGATTGAGCCCCACACTGGGCTATCTGCTTGGCAGGGAGTCTGCTGCTCCCTCTCCCTCTCAAATAAAATCTTAAAAAAAAAATGGTTAAGATGGTAAATTTTATGTGTCTTTTACCACAGTTTTTAAAAAATGTAAACATTGAATTTTTTTTAATGCAAGGTTTGAAGTTTTTATTTATAAAAGCAATATGTTTACATGAAATGCAGTTTGGAACATGGCAGAGGAAACAATTACCCCTCACTGTCCTTTACAGCCTACTAGCATTCTTTGGCTCAATAGTGTTGTTGCTTAAGTACTTTTTAAAGAATAGCATCTTTCCAGTTAAATCATTGGTTTTGTAATTTTGAAGAGTTAATTTGATTTTTGGTGGCAGATGTGCTGGGTTTTTTTTTTTAATGGACCAGTTCCTGCCTGGGACCCAAGGTGCCTGCCTTCTTTGGATCATATATTGAGATGGGGTTGGGAACAATGGAGTAAGCATTAACAGTTTCGAAATATAACATTTCACAAAAGTTATTAAAATGTAAAGAGCAGGGGCACCTGGGTGGCTCAGTCGTTAAGCGTCTGCCTTTGGCTCAGGTCATGATCCCAGAGTCCTGGGATCGAGCCCCGCATCGGGCTCTCCGCTCCATGGGAAGCCTGCTTCTCCCTCTCCCACTCCCCCTGCTTGTGTTCCCTCTCTCGCTGTGTCTTTCTCTGTCAAATAAATAAATAAAATCTTTTAAAAAAAAAATGTAAAGAGCAATAATTTACTGTCTGGAAAGGTCCAAGGCCGTTTCATACCCAGGTTGCTCTGGGAAGGAATGGGTTGATGAGAGCCAGCATGGCTGAGTTTCTCACTTTTGTGCAACCTTTGAGGCAAGGCTTGAAAGCGGGTTTTCAGATTCTGGTCACAGCAAGCTACTCATTACTGTGTCCTCTGACTAGCAGGCGTTTGAATCATCATTAGCAACTATTTCTAATGTTTTTTTCTCTGTGCCAGGCTTGGGCTGGATGGTCTAATGAAGACGAAGTTTCGTAATTGACTAGTGGTTTGTGTTCTCATTAGTGTTCTCACTAAAATTTCACAGTGCAGTGCTCAGTGTTGTGAGAAAGGGAAGCAAGAGTCTCAGAGAGGGAGGGGAAGGCCGGAGGGTCTAGTGATTTGGATTTTATCCTTTGGGTCATGCAGAGTCACTGAAGGGTTTTAAGCAGGAAATTAGATCACCCTAGTGTAGAAAATGGATGGGAGAGTAATGTGGGGGTGGGAGGATGGTGGAAACAGCTTGAGATTTAAAAAGAACCCAAATTTCCAGCCTGGGCACTTGGGTGGACAGGGGGTGCCATTCATATTGATTTGGAGCCTGTGAATGGGGATGGGGACAAAAAACTTTTTTGAACTGTTTGGTACATTTTTTAAAAAATTAGAAATTGCATTTTAATTTGTTGAAGTTTTATGAAATTGCTTCAAAACATTTTGAGAAGTAGGGGCGCCTGGGTGGCTCAGTTGGTTAAGTGTCTGACTCGATTTTGGCTCAGGTCATGATCTCAGGGTCATGCGACTGAGCCTCTCTTCGGGCTCTGCGCTCAGTGGGGAGTCTGCTTGAGATTCTCTCTCTCCCTCTTCCTCTCCCTGTGCTCTCTCTCGTTCTAAAATAAATAAGTCTTTTTAAAAAAAGGTTTTGAAGATTTTATGTATTTATTTGAAAGAGAGTGCAGGAGCATAAGGGGTGGGAAGCAGAGGGAGAGGGAGAAGTAGACTCCCTGCTGAGCATGGTGCCCAGTGAGGACATGGAGCTCAATCCCAGGACTCCAGAATCATGATCTGAGCCAAAGGCAGATGCTTAACCAACTGAGACACCCAGGCGCTCTTAAAATAAATAAATCTTAGAAGAAGAAAAAAAAAAGATTCTCTCCCTCTGCCCCTCCCCACCTTTCTCTCTCCCTCTCAAAAAAAAAAGAAAAAAAAATTGAGAGGCAACATGGCAGAGGGAAAATGCCTAGATTTCAGATCCTACAGATGTGGGCAACTCTGGATTAGTCAAAGGCATACTAAGCATGAGTGATTAGGGCACCTAACAAAGAATGAGAAAATAATAATAAAATTATTTTGTATTTTTAAAAAGCATCAAGTAATCACTTTGGGGGGAAAAGTGAAAACATTTTTGGCTTCCTGACATTGATGTTACAGTTTAGATTTCTCATTTTAAATTCTATATTAGGGTTGGTGGATGAGGGGGATACCAGGCTTTTTCCAATTCTTAGGTCTAAAGGTCTTAATCTGGATTCTGATCTGGATTTTGCCTTTTATTGGCTGTGTGACCTTGCACAAGTTTATCTGACCTCTGGGTCTTGGTTTTGTCACCTATCACATGGGGTTGACGATGCCTTCTAGGGTTGTTAGGAAAATTACATAGGAGCTCTTATCAGAGAACGATTAATGTTTCTTTTAAAAGATTTTTATGGGCCCATATTTTATAATTAGATAATTGTTTTCTTTCCACGTGGTGGTGGTAACTTGTGAGGGAGTCTAGCTTTTAAGACAGTCTGCCTTTGCTGCCATTCTTTTAATATCCAGGGAGTTGATGGTGAGGCTCTCTAGAGGTATTCAGGGCATAAAACAGCTGCTGGGGACAGGCTTGAGGAAGGGGTGGGGTGGGGCCCGCCTCCTGTCTCCCCCCACCACTGCCCCAGTGGGGAGAGAGTCACTGAGAAGACTTGCACCTGCCTGGGCCTGGAGTGGAAACTATTCCCAGCTGGTGCTCCTTCCCAGGCTTAAGGAATGGTGATCGTATTACAGTTTATAAATCAGGCCTCCCCACTGTCTAAAGGGGAAAGGCCAAAATTCTTTGCCTAACGTATAAGTCTCCCCACCCCCATGATATGTTCCCGGCCTCCATATTTAGCTCCATCTTCTTCGTAACTTGGGAGCTGCCTGGAGTCTCTGCACCACTGCCAAAAAAAGAGAGAGAGAGAGAAAGAAAGGAAAGAAAGAAAAAAAGAAGAAAAGAAACAGCCTGTTCAGGCTGTTTCTTACTGCCAACCATTTATGATGCTGGTTGCTCTCTCTGGAATGCCCTTTTACCTTTCATTTTTTATTTTTTTTATTTTTATTTTTTATTTTTTTTAAAGATTTTATTTATTTATTTGACAGAGAGACACAGCGAGAGAGGGAACACAAGCAGGGGGAGTGGGGGAGGGAGAAGCAGGCTTCCCGCGGAGCA